AGAGAGAGAGAGAGAGAGAGAGAGAGAGAGAGAGAGAGAGAGAGATGAAAATTTTCAAAGCTCACGTACATTTTTATTATTTTGATTTTTTTTTTTGGTATTGCCATTGACCGGATGTAATGATGACATTGTTGATTATTATTATGATCACATCAAACAACATCATCATCATCATACAAACAAAACACCCATCCTAAACAAAAAGACCATAGGAAAAAAGAAGAGACTAGAGAGTGAGTGAGATTTCATTTTCATTCATAAATATGTGTGGAAAGTTTACTATACTGATTTTCAATCATAGGGTAGTTGTCTTTTCACATACAGGTATATTAATTTAATGGTTTTACACTATTTCAAGTCAAAATGAAAGAAATCTATAGAGAGACAGAGAAAGAGACAGAGAGAGAGAGAGAGAGAGAGAGAGAGAGAGAGAGGGAGATTGAGAGGAAACGTAAACGTAAAATTTAAATTCAATCAACCAAAACAACAACAAAAATGATGAGATGATTGGTTATTGTTGTTGTTGTTTTTTTTCGTATGCAAGTCCTCAAATAGAACATACGCATACAGTTTTCTTCATTTCATTCAAAATTGAAAATTAAAGATTTTCTACTTTTCAAATGGCAATGAATGAATGAATAAAAATAATCATATGAATGAATCTACTACTGCTGCTTACTATTTGGTTCAATAATTTCATTACTACGGATAGCGTGAGAATATTTTCTTTTACACTTTAAAAAAAATTTCTATAGTTGAAAAAAGCATCAAGTGATTATGAAAAATAAACGAAAAAAAAAACACGCAAAGGTAAAACAAATGTCTCAAGTTTACCGTTTCTACTTTGATTCATAGAAAGGTTCCGGTATCAAAACCCAAAACCAGCATTAAAAAAAAACTAGGTTTGTTTTTGGATCATTTTCATCGTTCGATACTCACACACACACCCACAAAAAACAAACATGGACTAGAAGAAAAATATGTTTCGGAGGGTTTCCTTTCTTTTTTCACCTTCTTTTTTTTTAGAGAAAAAAACAACGTCTGTTCTGAATAAAACTGTTTCTCTGTGTCGACATAGAAAGTGGGAAAAAAATTGGACGAGACTTTTTAAATTTTACTCAAAGAAAAGTGATTGAAACAAAATTCAATAGACAAGGTGTGTATTTTTAGTCTTGTGTGTATGTATGTGTGTAACGTATATACACAGGACCTTGGGTCTAAGGAAATATTTTTGTTCTTTCGTTCTTTCCATCATCATTTTACAAGTGATCATGATGATGATAATGTTGGTCACGGTGGTGAGAATGGGAATTTTATTTTTTGAGAAAAAGAAAATCAATCCAGCTGTTCGTTTTTTTTCATATAAAAAAAAATCTAGCGATTTCCGATTGAAATCTTTGTTGTTGTTGTTGTTGTTGTCGTGTGTGAATGTTCAATGTTGACATACATGTTATGAATTTTAATTTTTAAAATTTTATTTTTGCTTGGTTATTTGAGAAAATGAAAATTATAATCATAAAACTTACCATACGATGTGGACAATCCTGTTGACATCTAGTGATTACATCATGATCAATATTTGTTGTTATTGTTGTTACTGATAATGATGATGATAATTGATCAATATTGATCAATATAATTAGAAAAATTACGACTAGTGATGTTGATAGATTAACTACTACACTATGGCAAACTTTTATTGGTCCATTGATGGACATTGTGTTGACCGGGGTTGTTTACTTATGTAATTTCGATCGAAATTTTTGTTGTTGTTAATCTTTTATTTTGTTGTTGTTGTTGAGATGAAAATATTATTCACATTTTCTTCTTTTTTTTGAATAAATTATTTTTGATAATCTAAATTTGATTAGATCAAAACCAGATTCACATTAGATAACAATGAAATATTATTTGTTGAATGTAATTCCAACAATCATTGTCAATAGACAACAAACAAACAAGAGAAAAAGTACAGAAAGAAACAAAAATTTCATTCCAATTTTAATGATGATGTAGTTTTATTTGATTCATTTATTTTTTCATTTTTTTTGTTCGAAACAAATTGGAAGAAAAATAAATTTTCCAAATAGTTTATTTAATCAGTTTTTTTTCGTTATTTTTATCATCATCAATGGGATTGTGTGATAATTACGATTGATTTGAAACTAAAGCAAAAATTTTACAAACAAACAAACAAATGAAACCAGAACCAAATCCAAAACAAAACAAAAATATTGGAAAATTGAAAAATTGAAAACAAATTCAATTCAATTCAATTTTTTTTTCGGTTGATTGTATTAATCATCATCATATCATTTTTTTTGTATACATATAATGATAGTGGTATGCCGATTTTTGATATCAAAAAACAAAAATTCAAATCATAATGGATGTTGATGTTAATAATAATATTGATGATGATGATGATGATGATGACGACAATGATGAACAAAATGAAAATAATCAACAAATATATAGATCATAACAACAACGACAATAAACAAAAAGAAAGAAAAAGATGCGAATATACCACAAACAATATCAATTGATATACATCATTTTTTTAAAAAAAATATTCCGAGCAACAAGTGTGCGTTGTATGCATATGGATTTAAATAAATATCACCATTTTTAATAACAACAACAAATGGATGTTAGAAGAAATAAAAGCCAATTGTAGTAGTTTTTTTTTGATTTCGGTGATTTCTGATCTTTGATATATTTTTTTTTCGTTCTTATTTTTTTTTTTGTTTTCATTCAAGATATCAATCATTCAATTATTATTGCAAATGGAAATTATACAAATTTATATCAAAATGAATATTGTGAATAATAAAAAAAATGATTATCTCAATTTTTTGTTTTTGCGTGGATTTATTTCTCTCTTTTGGCTTTTTTTAGTATTTGTTATTATTTCACATGATAATGTTTGATGATAATGATGATGGTGTGTGGAGAAGAAATATTTGGCGCCAATCAATTTGTTTGTATTTATTTTGAAAGAAAATTTCATTCAAATTCGAAAGATAATATTTGTATCAATTAAATGATTGTATAAAAATGTTTGGCAAGAAATTTAAAAAAGAAAAATTATTATTATTCGATTTCACTATATTACACAAAAAACACATTCACATTCTAAGAAAAACATAGGGAAAAAATGTCATTTTTTAATCTGAAGTAGATTTTAGATTAATTAATTAATATTATTCAGGAAAAAAACTAGGTTTAACCAACAAAATGAAAAACAAAACAAAACTTTTTTCCATTACACGAATGAATTTAAATTTTTTGAATTATCTGTGATGTTGACGGTACGTTGTTTAAATGTTCAATGATTTTATATGAATGAATCTTTACGAGAAAAAACCAGACGAAACAAAAAAAAATTTCCGCTGTAAAAAAAATACAAATTTTTTCGGCTTGTTCTACTACCCACTTGGGGTGATTGTAAACAGACACACTCATAAGTATAGGGAAGGTTGAACCGGCTGAATTGACTATTGCTTAGCCACAATATATCAAGGCCGAGGTCAATCTTAGCTGCCGAATCTATTTTACTATTAATAATTGCATTCACTTTTTTTCTTTTGTATTTGACTGATTCAAGTCCCAAGAAAAACATTTTTTTTTTTTTTTGGAACTTGAACATATAACAGCTGCAGCTGGTGCGTAACATAAGAAATCAAGTTACAAATTTTATCAATTTATTTATTGATATTTGTTGATTTCAGGTAAGTATGTCTTATGTGAAAAAACACAGGAACACAAGTTGACACTAAAAGATTTTATTTAAAAAAATAGTATCACTTTCTTCCTTTGGTTTAGTCAAGTTTTTTTTCTTTGTCCAAAAATCTGATTTGTAATTTTTATTTAAAATCTCGATCATCTGGTCAGAAAAAAGACCATTGTTTTTTATCAACAAATTGTGGTAACAGTATTCTATAGACAAAAATTTAGTAATTTTTCAAAATTAAAGAAAATCTATCATATTCTGCCATCTAGTGTTTCAAACAAAAATTGTTGAGCAATGAGAACTGTTTTTTTGATGATAATCGTGGCGATGTAAAGGATAGTCGCTCAGGATTTTGATCACCTTTGATGGACAACTCCCTTTTTTTTGTCAACAAATCATTGATATCAAGTTATTGTTTTTTTCCTAATTCAAATTTATTTTATAAATCCTTTTTATATGACAAATAATTGATAAAAAAATAGAATAAAATTTATCAACAATGGCCGAACCTGCACCAATCCGTCCGCAGAGGATAATTCGAGCCAATCGTGAAACGACGGTATGTTTTGTATTTGTATTCAAATTTAAATTAAATTCTCGTGTTCAAAGGGTGGTCTACTTATGTCGGTAATACGATCGTTGACAACATCACGTGATTCAGCCGATCGTGATCGTGAACGTTTAGAATTAGAAAAAGGATTTCAACAATGCGATGCAAAATTAAATGAGCTGATTAGTCAACATGGTAATGATCTTTATAAGGTGATGACCATATTTTCTACGATTCTCACAAATTTAAGTCGAGCAAAAGAACGTCTCATTGATACACGTGATAAGTTATTGAATTGTCAAAAACTTTTACATTGTAAACGCGAAGAATTGAAAAAACTTTGGCTTGAAATTATTGAAAATCGTGCCGAATTCAATCTATTGGAACGTATCGAACGTGTAAGCGCCTTACCAAGACAAGTGGAATCCTATGCCGATAAGAAACATTATCTACATGCCGGACAATGTTGTGTCGACGGATTAAGGCAATTAGGATGCTCATTATCATCACCATATTTATCATCGGTTGGTGAACTAGATCAATCATCATCACAAAATTCATCATCCGCAATCAGTGCAAATCAATTTGATTGCTCCTTGGGCAAGATTGAAGCTTTGGCCGAAGTGCGACAAGAATTATTGGCTAAAAAAGAGATGCTATTCGACAAATGTATCGAAGAATTGCATAGACATTTATATGCGATTACTACTGAAAATGTACGAAAACAATTTCAAAATGAACAACAACAACGACAGATACGAGAAACATCGAATTCCAATCATAATCGTAAACCATCAATTATTTATGATAATTTTCAATATGAAAATCAGATGATCAAAGGTAGTGTGAATTTTCTATTGAATTTATTTTTAATTTGAATTTTTCTTCATAGGTGTTTCACAACCGACCACCATGCAAGACGAAAACGATTTTGATGCATATCCAGAAGAGGATAGCCGACAATTTATTTCAATGCTGACAAAATGTATTGGTCTTTTGAATAAAATACCTGACGCTGTCAAAATAATCAAAGAACGTTTTGATGAAGAATTCGTTAATGTTGTTATTCGTACAGCACAGGATATATTGATTTCCAATCAAAATGATTCAATAGCCGATAGTTTAGCTGCTGCTAATACTAATCAAATGTCATTGATGGATCTTGATGCTGATGGAATACCCGATGTATCATCAATGGCTAATGTTAACTTAGTTTCATCACCAAATACCGGTCAAGATTTAGTCGTCTTAACGTGCACAAGATTACTTGGTTATCGTTATAATGGATTTAGCCATTTACAATCATCCGCTACCGATCATCAATCATTAAATTACTCGCAATGGCCACGAACTTCCCTTCAATTGCGACAATTGTTTGATATGTTGATTCGACAATTTTTTCATATTATGGAATTACATAATACAGTCGTTCTTATTAATCTTAAACGAATCGAATCTGCCCTTCACATGGCTGCGATGGCTGACAATATGAGCATTCAAGATCAGAATGATATCGATTTGAATTCATCAGCTGTCAGCACGGCTTTTTATTCATCGATAGACATTTGGTCAAAAATACAATTGCTCATACAGCAATTACTAGATTATTATCTGGATATTTCACAGATTTCTGGCCAAACTTCATCAGCTGGTTCTATAGGTAATGCTATGAACTATAATCGAGTTTCATCAATATTGTCATCGGCTGCCGTTAACATGTTGTTCGGATTAAGCAGTACGGGCTCAACAAACTCTGCTGGTACTGGCTCTGTTGGCGCTGGTCGTCCTGAGAATATCTCCAGTTTTTTCTTGAAACGACGTCCAATGGTTGTTGCCGGTGCCATGAATGCTGTTAATGTAATGATGTCAAAAAATATTTCGAATTCCTCAAATACATTCACTGCTAGTGATTCTGGTAGTCAAACCACAGGTGCAAGTGATCAATCCGATTCTGGATCTGGTCCATCCGCTAATGTTTCAAGCACTATTGTCAGCGGAACCATGTCTAATCAATCTGGAACATTACAACCTGTATCATCTGGACACAATCTTCTTCATTCATTTTCTCAAAGCCATTGGCGTTCAAATCAATCAAATTTATTTAAATTTGATCATTCCACACAAGCAATATCGTGGAATAGTTTTCTTCAACAGCAACAACGTCAATCTGAAACAAGTACCGATCAACAAGTTGAAAATAGCTCCACAAGTAATGACCAAACTGATTCGGATAATAAATCTGTTAATCAACAACAACAAACGTCGACAGTAAATACTAATATTAATCACCGTTTATTTGATTCACTTCGATCGATTTGCCAACCGAGTCCAGATAACTTAGTTCTTCTCTATGATACATTAATGGAGCATGTGCGTAAGTGTCCAGTGACAACGATATCTAGCAATAGTACCGAAACAGGTAATTCGAAACAGCAGCAGATTAGTACTTTACATTCATACTTGATAACCAGCTCTGAGAAATTCACACAACATATCAATTCACAATTGGAAGCAATGTTGGATCAAGCTCAAAAAAGTCTTGAATCTGGCGTAACTATATTATTGCAGCAACCTGTAAGCAAAACGGATCAATCATTGAATGCTCAACGATCAAAACAATTGCCAGAGAATAATGATAAAATTTCCGGATCCTCTGATTCTGGTGATCAACAATCCCCCATGACACCATCCGGACCATCAATCACTATCGGTCCTGGAAATAATGTAACATTGCTTTTATTAGAATCAGCCATATTGGTTGATGTAGCAGTTCATGATTTAAGTATGTTGATGGGAACTATGACAGAATATCGACAACATTATCTAGGACACATTTGTAACGTATTAAATGCATACAAAGATGCCTGTACACGTTTATATGATACGGTTACAGCTGAAATGGTACAACAACCATCGATGGCCTCGACATTACAGGCAAATCAATCGTTAATGGGTGGTGTATCTAATCTTGATCTTGCTGAATCAAGCCATACTTCAACAATTATGACTAATGCCGATCAACGAAAATCAATCATTTCGGCATATTGGGCACAAAATGAAGACATTAATCGATTATTAAAATCACAACCAAATTGGATTCAATTAGAGATGGCAAATTCACGATCACGAACAACGAACACGGGAGGGACGACGCCCACTTCATCGATGAGATCGCCTCAACGATTTGGTGGTGTTGGTAATGCACCGTCACGTCGTCAAATGATGATGATCAATCGCCAAATGTCGACATCAATGTCATTCGATGTTGAATCGCCTGAGGACGTCCGACAGCGAAATGCAAGCGAAATTGATATTCTTATTAAGCTACTGTCACAGGAGATAACTCAATCGGAATTACTTTGGAATCCAGGGCAATTAACTTTATTGGGCAACATGCAACAATCATTTGAATGGCTGGCTGCACGTTGTGATTATTTGGTACAAAAGATTCAATCAAATGGATCAGAACAAAAAACATTGGGATCCTCATCGACTAGAAAAAATCGCATGGGTTCGACGAATGATTCTTCTGATGTACTCATAGCTACGTTGAATCAATTGATTGTAGATTTTGAAGAACTTGGCCGACTATGTCTTATGGTATTACATTTGGAGATACGTGTTCATTGTTGTTATCATTTACAAGCACTTGATGCTCAATTTTTCACTACGCCAGCACCAAGTACAATGATGTCTACTTCGGATCATTCTTATAGTGGTAGCAGAACATCGAATGCAACAAACAACACATCGACAGATCTATCTGATGATGGCAGAATAATGCCATTATTAGAAGATTTGCAAAGGATGTATTTTGAGATATCAGCTTCTCAACTTTCACCAGTCAAAATGGGATACCTTTTTGAAGGTCTTGGCCATTTAATGGCGACCAAATTTATCGATTCAGCTATGGCTGTGCGACGGGTTAAGCCTAACGGTATAAAGCGCGCTTGTCGTGCTATTTATGATATTCAACGACGATTATCCACATTAACTAAATCACGAGAATTGGCATTAGATTATGCAAGACAATATTTTGAAATGTTATTATTAACACCGGAAGAAATATTTTCTAGTATCATTGAACGCGGAAGACAATTCAAACCTCAAGAATATATCAGTGCCATTACATTGTTACATCAAAGTGGATTAAGTCAAACGGGATCGGAAACCGGTATCAACACAATTATGACAAATACATCAACATCAAACATTAGTTTTGATCAACATCAGTCAAATCAACAGCTACAACGGTTGATAAAACGATTAAATCATATTCTAGCTGAAGTCATCTCATAATGATATTTATCACAATAATGTTGATAATTATATTCGTAAATTATTTTAATAATTTATTTGAAAAAAAATTAATAAAATTGATATATCCAAAGGATTTAATAAAGTTATTATTATCATTACAAGTCATTCTTTGCTTCTCATTCGTGTTAATAAATATAGGTGTTTATTTTCAGGAAAATTTTTATTTTTTTTCAAAACAATTGATTCCATATATTGTGAGGTATTTCATTTATTATCATTCGGTGATATGTTGCCATCAATTTTCAATGTATCGCAACGAATGTTCAATAAGAATGGCCGATAATTCCATTAGAAATTCATCGAATACAATTAGATTATAGACAAGTTGATTGAAACGATTAACATTCTGTGCTTGATCACGTTGTTCACGAATTTCTCGTTGCTGTTGTAATAAAGTTTGATTGATGAATCTATTCAGAATGAAAACAAAAATAAGGATAAGAATCGATTAATTCATAGTACTTTATTGGGGATACCTGATACCACCGGGAACCACTTCCAACATCTGCCCAGTAGATGAAACAATAGATGCATTACTTGGTCGACGATTCAACGTTGTTGATGTTGAAGATGATGAATTTGTTGAGCGAAAAAATAAATTTTTTAATAACCCAAACGCTTTATGTTGAGATCCTAAAAAAGTATAAAATAAAATCAGAATTTTTTAAATCGCACGATAGGTTATTATAAAATCATCACCGAACATGATGATTCATTTACCTGTATTATTTGTTTCGTTCGATGAGGATGCGTTTGATGATGATCGAAGGTTTGTACTACCACCACTATTATTGCCGACCAATAATGAGCAATCAACTTCTCCTAATGGCATTGATTGTAAATTTGACTTTGCTGCCTGAAAAACTGTCTCAAAATCCGGTATTTCATCACAATAATTTTGAGCTTCAATACTTAATTTTTGTACTAAATGAATAAAACATGGTACATTTTTTGTTCGAGATAATGTTTCATCAAATAATAATGATAATAGTAATTTATGATGAAAATGACAAAGTCTAGTCAAGAGGCCAGTCAAATGTAGATTAGTGATGACTTCATTTTCAAAAAATTTTTCAAATTTCATAAATAATACGGTTAAAAATGATCCGATTGGTGATGGTTCAGACCAATCATTATTAGTACCATTATTATTGTTTGATAGGATGTTCATCATACCAAAAAATGACGGCTTATTTGTTTCAACTTTATAGTTAATTTTTTTCAATTTAAAATCATAATAACAATTTTTCATTTTAAATCCGGGTGAAAACTTTGCTAATAATGTATTTTGTGTGATAATATCATTGATATCGATAATATCGTCACCCATCATGGCCGTCATTATTGATTGATGTTGTTGTTTATGATCACAATCATCATGATTAAGATCATTGTTATCATCGTTGACATTATTATTATTATTGCCGTTTAGATTGCTTCGATCAATCGTACAAAATATAATATTTTCATCATGAACTTCATTAAGTAAATGACATGGTTCATTATAAGAATTTCGCCATGTTTTTGTTGCTAAATGACATTGTTCAAGATTTTGTCTGGCATCATTCAAATAATCGATGTAATGAAGAAAATAATCAGAATGACATTTACAATTTTTTGATGAATTTGATTCGATTGACGAAATTGATTCAACCTCAATATTCATTTGATGTGGACATAGACTATTAAGGTAATAGGATATACTAGTTGATAGTAATTTTTGTGCAGAAATGGCGAGCCAATTTTTTTGATATGATAGATATGATTGACTTTGTGCATAATGTTTTGATGACATATTGTTTTCAACATGAGATTCTTCTTTCAAATGTCGACCACGCATTAGATGTCTGTTTATCGAAGATAAATTCAAATGTATGAAGCAAAATTTTTCACAAAAAAAAGAATGACTTACTTGAAAATTAGTTCATAAAGTAGATCTTCACAATTTAAATCCAATAATGTTTTGAAAAATATTAATGTTACCAGTGATAACTATAATTGATGAATATAATAAGTTGAAAAAAAATTTCTATCAAAAAATTTTACCTTTGATTTAGCTGTAATACGATTGATCAATGTTGAAATAATAAAATTGTTGTCATAAACTTCAAAACAAAGAAATTCAAGAAATATTCGTATCAATTTCGGTTCACTTGTTGTTCGAATAAATAGATCCAGATAGGCGGTTGTCGTTATAATCTCATCCAAAGTGTTCTAACAATATAAATTCAATTCAATTTATGGAAAAAATTAAGATAAAAACAGATTAGTTATAAGCAGCAAAATAATTTTTTTTCACATTTATTCATTCCAAAATCAAATAATCCTTGCTAAACTAAACAAAATTTCATGCAAAAAAACTGTAACAATTTTAAAAAATACGAAAGAAATGTTTGACCCAGCATACAATTTCATGCATTATTAAAGCATAACACAACCACCACCAATAAAGCAAATGAAATTCAATTATTATGAAAATACCCACCGAATATGATGGTAATGTTTCAAGATCGTTGATAGAAACATTTGCCACATCCTTTTCATAATGATGATTGTTTTTTTTTGCAATGGAACAAAAAGAAGACAAAAATGAGAAATGAATATATTCGTCATAGATTAAGAATATAAATCTAGTTCAAATCGATCAATCATGTTTGAGTGCATCGTATGGAAAATGAAAAATTCAATTATACAAAAAATGGAAAAGAAAATATTGAATCTGTTCATCATCACCCTCGTTGTTTGTTTCTTTTGAATTTTTACTGTTAAAACTGTTTTTTTTGCGAATCCAAATACAAAGACACACAAAAAACTATAAATAAATCAATTACCTGATGTAATGCTGGTCCAATTACGGAGATTAAAAAACCATTAAAAGTATATTTTAGCAATTGTACTTGTATGATTGGATGAGACATTTGTACCACAGCATTGCAAAAATCCAAACATTTTAAAAAATGATCAATTTCTTTTGAATTGGTTAACAGTTCATGTTTGAATTGATATGATTGATATTGTTCAGTATTAATCTTGCTGTTGATAGAAAATGATTGATTATTATTGTTGTTGTCATTATTATTAGCGGCAATCAATACACGTGGTAGTGATGAAAAATGTCCACTTAAACCGGTGGCCAATATCGGACAGAAATCTGTTTTATTTGCAACAAAATATGCTAAACGTTCATCATGTCTTGACATGGCTAAACAAAGTAATATTGCATCACGTGATTGTTGTCCAATTGGACCATCACGATGAACGAATTGTATCAATAATGAAAATAATGGAAATGAAAAATTTTCACAATCATCTTGATTATCATTTTCTTCATTTTTGTTCGTTTGTTCATTATCACAGTATGGAGTAGTAGATTGATTATATGAATCTAGACTAGATTGTTGTTTTGGCGGTGGCGTATTATCGGTTTTATGATGATTGCTATTCAATATCATATCATCATAAATATCATTCGATGAAGATAATTTTGTATTTGGGTTGTTGATTTTTGCAGAATATTTTTGATTAATAATAAATACATTTAATAGACGATTATTCTGGCTAATTATTACGCATAATGTATTGAGCAATAGGACCAAACGTTTTTCAATCTCAACAACATAATTATTCATCATTGTATAATTGGTCATTAAAAATGTTGATAATGATTCTAATAAATAGATCAATGGTTGAAAGAATGATGGCTTAAATAGGACAATATCGGTTTGGCACAACTGACTAATTAACAATTCATAGAGCTTTAATTGTTCCAGATACATGGCATTTTTCCATTCACCGGACATTTCTGACCATTGAAATATTTTCTCTAAAATTGATTCATTTGATAGAAATTCCATCAATGGACTTAGTGATGAGGTATTGGATGATTCAATTATCATAGAATTATTCGCATTATGGCTACAACTATGATGGCTACTATTTTCCGATGTTGTCGATGATGATGTATGCTCAGTTTTAATATCGCTCATACTAGCAGCTGTACGTACATCATTCACATTTTCTTCCATTAATAACGAAATCATCTGTTCAATATGATTGACAATGCTTGATAAATCATCGATTGTAATATCATTAAGAATTTTACATTCCATAATAGACCATGCCTGTATCCAATGCATTCGAAATGAATCTAATATGGCACTTTTTAATGATTCACTATCTTGTAATGATGAATATCGACTACTATATTCATCGGTCGTTGATAATGATGACATTGGATGATGATGATGATGGTGATTAATCATTGTTGATGATTGATTATTAGATGTTAATGATGATGATGAACAATTTGAATTTAATACATCCGGCATGACCATTATTTAATTAATGTTTGTAAAATAAATGACAACAAAAAAAAGCATTAGGAAAAATTATCTTGATGTTGAAACAAAATTTGATCATAGGAAAACAATGTAAATAAGAAACAACGCGTTATAATGCATCAGTATTATATTATTTTTTTTGCATATCTTGGATAGACGCCCAAATTTTCGTTTGTTCGTTTGTTACGTTACATTTTATTATGTTGTTTACAATTATCCATCGTCATTTGGTTTATTAACAAAAAGATAAAGATAAAGACAACAACTTGTTGATCTGTTTCATTCGATATAGGTTGTTTGTTTTTTTATTATAAATATTGGTTACCAATAACAACTTGTTGCGTTACGGCCAATAAAAATGACAAGATAAATATAATGATGAGATAGTTGAGAGTAATAAGAGAATAATAACAACAACAAAATATTTGATCAGATATTGATGATAATATATTTAATTGTCAAAATATTTTATTTCATTTTCAAATATATTGTCGACTAGTATCACTGTGTGTGTTTTTGTAAATTTGATTGACATGATAATGAAACAGATGAGGATGTTGGTGAATTATGTTGTTTATACAACAGTCAGAAAAAAATTGGATATATTTTTCATTCCATTTGAATGGATTTTTTTCTGAATTATTTACTATATTGATTTTCCGTTTCTATAAGTTGTTCACATTGTATCATCATCAATAATCATTGTCATTATCATTTCAAAAAGAAAATGATTATTAATGTCATAAATATGAAATATCATGGATGATGATAAAATTTATGGACAAAAAAAATCTATTTTTGTAAACTTGTCAACAGATTTTTTTTCGGAAACTGTAGTAACATTTTATTGTTGTTGTTGTTTTTGTTTTTGCTATAACAACAAATTAGTTTTCCGGTTCGAATGTGCGCAAACACACGCACACACACGAATTTAAAAAAAAATTTAATAAATAACAAATTGAATGAAATAAACACAAACAAAATAAATAATCAAAATGATTGATCACAAATGTCAGCAGGTTTTGGAAAAGAACATTATTTATTTTTCACATTGATGATTATGATGATGATGATGATGATGAATAAAATTAAATTTAAATTGAAAATAAATTTTGTTCAAACATTCACAATCGACACACTCACTGACAGTAGAGAGACACACACATACACAAGCAGGTAATTTAATGAACAAAATGGCCAAAAACAAAAAAGCAAAAATATACGAAAACATGAAACAGGTAATGCGAGGAAATATTTTCTTTTTCTTGTTTTTTTTTCTATTTTGTAGAACATTAACGACCGTTATATTGAAAATTTGATTTCATTTGTTTGAGTACAGAAAAAAAATTGTTCATCATCAAACAAATTTGATTTGAATAGCGAAAATTATAATGATCGATGTATACGATGAATGAGAAAATGAAAATGAAAACAAAACAATCAAATGAGGACAACAACCAAAAAAAAACATCGATTCAATTATCGATGTTAAATTATGGCATTCAATTTATTTTTAACATGGTAATGGACAATTTTGATTGATGAACAATTTCTTCTTGGTTCAGATGTTTATTTACTTTCTTTGCAAAGAAAAACCGAACAAACAAACAATTTATTTAATTAATTAAGAAAATTTATAAATATTCATACCTGATTGATTTTTTTTCGAAATTAATGGACAACAATAGATTGCATTAATTTTTTTCGGAAAACTTTTTTTTTGTGGATAAAAACGAATAAATATTATCAATGGAATTATATAATGGATGACAATTGATCGGAAGATTCCAAATTGATAGTTGAACACAAACAAGATTTTTTTTTTGTTGAAACCAATGATGATTGATTTGATCGTAAACTATAGAAAAGATTTGAATCGTAGTTTCACTATAACAACGAATAAAAAAAAGAGAAAATATTTCACAATAAGAAAATGTATCGTTTTCGATGGACAATTTTTTCCAAAATGAAAAATGAATTATTTTTTTGCAATAAAAAAATAATATAATGAAATTCTTTTATCACTAACACATAGATAAAGATCGATCATGATAAATGATAAGATAATAAAACTATGAACTTGTGCATAAGATAAATCAAACCAAAAAATGATAACAACAACAAACCAATAGCGAGTGAGGTGAGAAAAAAATAACAATCGTATATTGTATATAACCTGTCATACAAGTTAACCACACTAAGATAGACAGATAGATGATAGGAAATTGTAAAGTTAACAGAACAAATAAAAACAAAGATAGGAAGATAGAGAGAGTGAAAGATTGAAAGAGAAAGAAAGATAGTGATAGAGAGAGAGAATTTAAAATGCATTTCTGGAAACATTGATCAGTAAAAAAAAACAAGGAATTCATTCAACAACAAAAAAATTGAAAAAAAGGTTGAGCAATCTGTACATCTTAAATCCTAAATCCTAATAATAATAATGATCAATGATGATTTCTATCTATCTATCGAATGAATCGTATAAACAAGACAAGATTCGATTGCACATCAAATAACTGAATCGTCATCATCATCATCATTATAGATGGATTAAATACCTGCATGTAAATGATGCTTAATCATCGTTTATGATCATCGTATTATTACATTATGATGATGATTGTTCGATAAAAATCCAAACGGAAATGAAACAATTCTTCAATAATTTTGATTGACGCCGTTTGATGATCATAGTGGCAAATTTAATCAACCGAAACAAACATTCGATTCAATCAATCAGCCAGAAAAAAAACAAATCAAGGACGATACAGACAATTGGTCACCATGGTCACATGTTGAGTTTGTTACCACTTACTGTTTCTTCGGTTACGTTTCATTAAATTCGAATTTTAAAAAAATTGTCAAAAAAATTGAAAATTTTAATCTTTAAATTTTTTTAATAACACAAAAAAAATCAATGCCTACATAATAAACAAACATGTCATTGGGATAAAAATAAATAAATAAATGAACGAATTCAATTTCAATTCTGCATAAAACAGAATTTAACCGTGGTAACAAAATAGAAAACAAAACAGTAAAAAAAAGAATATATCATCAAACAACATTCTACACATACACAAAGAACATTCGCTCATTTCAATTTTAACGAATTCTTGAGAATTGATTTTCTTCTTCTTTTTGCCGCATGTATTGCCATCTAGTAATCAGCATTCGAAACGAAATCATAATTTAGCATCAATTTTGTGAACATTTTTTTTTCTGTTATTTCCGTAAAACAAGGTTTAAATTTTTTTTTTCATCCACTTATTAACAATATGAAATTTTAATTTTTTTTCACAAATTGAAATTGAAAAAGATTTTGATATTTGAAAACTAAAAATATATTTACGAAATTTTCTTTCGAAAATAACTATTGCCACAAATTTATGGAATCTTATGTGGTTATAGTCGTAAATAAATAGGGAGAAAAAAGCCGCCACCATGATTTGGAATTTCATTTATTTTTTTTTTCTCGTAAAAAAAATTTCTTCTCCACAACGTTCAACGTAGTGGCTCTAACAGCCTATAGGCTATGTTCCGATGTTGATCAACATCAACATTAACTATGTGTATTTGATGTATGTATACAACAAGTGTGACTCGGCCAAACAATTTATTTTTTGTTTGTTTCAAAATTATCTAAAAAATCGACCTGGCTCATTTTTTTTCTGAATTAGATCCTTGTGTTTGTGTGGGCTTCTTGTATAAAAAAAATACCACTACCATTAGATCATCATATTTGTCTCATTTAGATATATAAGAAACCATGCTTTTATTATCATCAACAACAGAATTTCATATACATTCTATGTACATGTAAAAAGGTATCATATATGAATGTATGTATCTTTGGTGATGTGTTTTGTGTGTGTGTGTGTGTGTCTATTACCATTGAATGTGTGTAGTCCAAAAGTATCTTCAGTATCTTAATGATGATGATGATGATGTCGGTTAGAAATTATGTATGCTTTGTGTGTGTCTATGTGAGCGAATGAACTGATTATGGATAATTTTTTGACAAAATAAATAAGATGAATGATTTTTTTTTCTTTGCTATGTCAATGTATGAAATTTTAGCTTAGATGTAATTATAATTTATTTTTTTTTTGTTCATTATTTATTCGGACAACAAAAATGAAAATTTCATTGAATTTGATGAGATAATAAAACAACAACTATCAACATTTTCTATTAGTTTTTTTTGCTTAAAATTATGTTCATTTAAAATTGGGTAAGTTTTTTTCTTTGGTTTCAAACTCTGAAGAATTTTCAAAATTCTTTGGATGATTCTTATATAATTCAAGCAAAATGCGTACACGCACACACTTGTTGATTTCGCTATATAATTCATAAGGAATTTAATGTTTTTTTTAATCGTTTTATTTTAATTAACATTTTTCAAATACATATCTTACCGGTAAAAATTACAAACAGTTTTACTAATATTTGATATTATGATCGACATAAATGTTTGAAACGAAAAAAGAGTTTTTTTTTCTCTAACATCATAATAAAATGATCATAAAGATATGATGAATAATAAAAAGATACAACAGGATATTGGCAAGAATTTGATCGCTGCAAATTCTATTGGTGATCAACATCATCCACATCATCATCCTAATCAAAATCAACAACAACAACAACAATCAAAAACATTGGCCAAATCATCGAAAACAAAATCCATTCAAGAATCGGCTAATAATGCAATCGTAAGAATTGATAAATTGATTGATAAAAGATGCATGTATTTTTCATTGTAATCAAATATATTTTGCATTCAATGAACTGAAATATTCAATCGATAGATTTAAAAACATGATGATTGGTTATGTCTATTATATTGCATGTTGTTCGAATCGGAAACATAATTGAATGATTTGGTTTTTCTATCCTTTCCTTTATCCTGTTGAAAATGATTTTCGTTTTTTTTGGGGGGGAGAGAAAGTTTTATATTGTTTCAAATTTTGCATGAATTATGAATGCATAATAACATTTTCTCATTATTGTAGAATTTCTTATCAAATTAAAAATGAAAAGCAACAGCAACAAAACAAAACAAAAAAACATTTTGCATGTTAAAAACACATCAAATAAAAATGGTTGACACATCTCAATTTTTGGGTGCACGGAAATAACATCGAAATGAATTTTTTGTTTGTTTGTTTGTTAATTGTATAACGCGACATAGATACATAAACATTATCTATTATGGTGATGATAAAATGAATGAATGAATGTTCATTTTTTTTAATTTTTTTTTTGAAATTTGGTTTCAATCGCATGTGCATGAACCCCGAATGTTCAATTAATTCACTTAATTAATTTTTTTTCAATTTTCATTCCGATTATTATAGAATCGAATATTACATCGTAATAAATCAAATCAATCACAAAGTAATATTGAAAATAGCCATAAAAAATTATTGACAAGTACTTCAAGTTTAATATCAACATCATCATCATCTAATTTATCTTCAAATCATCATACTAATTCACAAGATTCGTGTCAAATTTTTGGTGTTGAAGAAAATAATCAACATCAACAAAATCATCTGTTTCATCATCATCACCATCATAATCACCTTCATCAACAACAACAACAACATCATAGACCTTTGAATGGTTGGTCGAATAGTGTTGATGATCAACATAAACAACATCAACAAACATATGTTAATCATCAGGCTTGGTCATCAACATCATCACCATCAAGTGATTTAATTATAGAACAGACATCAGCATCATCATATCGGATGCAGCCATCATCAATAAATGGTCATATGAATAACAGTAATAATAATAAATTACCTACGGGTTTTTTGAATGAACTTGAGAATAGTGTACGTAATAAACATCATCAACAGCAACAAAAAATGTCATCAAATTTCGATACGGGTCAAAGAAATAATAATAATAATAATAATAGTAGTAAGAAAAAAGATAAACGACAAGATTCAACCACAACCGAAATAATGTCATCGAATGAGGTATTATAAAACAAAATAAATTGATAAATTAAAAACATTTTATCTAATTTTTTCATAGCATTCCAAGATGATACCTCCATCATCACCGTCGACAACGACAAACGATGAAAATATTGACAAATTATTCGAAAAACTTATTTTGGTTTGTTAATCATCGAATATATTTTTAAAATTCCTAAGTTTTCTTTATTTTCATATATACGCGCACAGAATGAATATAATCTGAAAGAGGAACAAAAAATCAGCATGCGTTCAATGAGTATCGATAAGAAACGTTTATTAATCAATCAGAAATTGGTGCTGGATGAAAAGCAAACTAAACCTCCTCAAGAATATGCTAAATTTCTCAAGGATAATCAAGATTCCATACAATCAAAAGAACTAGAAAAATTGATCAAAGCATTACGTGTCGAATTGACATGTAAGGATGTTTCTTGGGTTAGAGAATTCGGGACCAATCAAGGTCATATTTATCTGCTGAACATTTTGCGCAATATAAGCCATCCACAATATCAAGCAAGAATGTCAAGTGATAAAAAACTTCCAGAGTTAATGTTCAATATAATCATGTGTATTCATTCCTTTATGAACATTCAGGCAAGTAATTTATTATTCTTTCAATAATGAAATGATTAATTTTTAAATTTTCATATTGCAGGTGGGTTTCAATCAAATATTAGACAATGAACAAGCATTTGTCATACTGGTACAATCATTGAATCCATCATGTTTACCAAATATGGCTCGTACGATGGAAATTTTAGCTGCGGTCACTTTAGTTGAAAAAGGTGTCGAAAGGGTCATCAATGCGTTCACGGATACAGCAATCGAATCTGACCGAGAAAATAAACGTTTTTCTATCATTGTTGAAGCTCTCAAACATTATGATGATCATATTGATGTTGCCTTTAGTGCCATTCAATTGATCAATGGTTTAATATTCAATCATGAAGATTTCGAACAAAGATTTTATTTACGTTGCGAAATCTATCGAACCACAGATCTTTCGGGTGAAGTTACATTCCGTGATATTGCCAATGAAATGGAAAAAAGGCTATTAAAAGAACGACCTAACGACATTGATCAGGACTCTGTATCTTTGACCAGTACCGGTACCATTCCAAGCTTCACGTCAGTCAATAATAATAATCAAACTTTACGTGCAGCTGCAAGAATCGTAATACATAAATCACCTCAGCAAAATTTTCTGGAATCATTTCAAATATTTTTCAACAATAAAAATGAAGATTTCGATGAGATGGCCTCAAGATTCGAAAACATTCGAATCGATTTTGATAATATGGATGATTGCTACCGAGTGCTAAGAAATTCGGTGGTTAATACACCGATCGAATCGGGTCTTTTGTCTATACTTCAATTATTGTTATTTATACGTGATGATCAATACGTCAGGTATTTCTTCTTGATTTGTATTTTTCAAAATGATTATTTTAATGTTTTTTTTTTCATTTTTCATTTCAGGCCTGCTTATTATTATTTGATCGAAGAATGTCTCATTCAAATCATGTTCCATCCATCTGGTGTTGATCCAGATTTTAGTCGTCGATCACGGTTCGAGATAGATACAAACTTTACTATCGAATCGATCGTTAAACGTTTTAAAGACAGTGAAGGTTCAGCATTGAGCTTAGAATTGAATCAAAAACTCGAAGATGCACTCACAGCTAAAGTAGAAGCTGAGGCGAAAGTTGAACAAGAAAAAAAGAATAATCAAGAATTGCAAGAAAAATTGCAAAAACTTCAGGAAGCCATGTCGAAAAATGTTAGTCTTGACCAAATTGAGTCATCGAATGCTCCATCTGTGATATCTTCTCCTACAACTTCTGGCCCACCACAAACAAATGCGCCTCCTCCGCCTCCACCTCCACCACCTCCCCCTGGAATGTGTGGTCCAGGGCTTATGCCACCTCCTCCGCCACCACCACCTCCTGGAATGGGAGGTATGATGGGAGGACCGCCGCCGCCACCACCTTCCGGACCAGCACCTCAAGAATTTCCATTTAATATAAAAAGAGCCAAATTTGTTCCGAAAAAAGGTTTGAAAAAGCCTATGTGGAAAAAATTACAAGCCATGAAAGTCAGCGAAGATTCTATATGGGTACAAGTGAATTCTGATGATGTTTACATGAGTGATGACATAATTGATTCATTAGTGAATAAATTTGCTAGTGCTAATTCTGCCATGACACATAGTGGTGCCAAAGGCCATGATGCCGATAATATTGATCGTGGTGATTCTCAGGATGGCCTAGTCGATTCATCAAGTTCGGGTGATGCAGTTGGTAATCTCGGAATTAGCGGTCGTCAAACTCCATCACTTCATTCTCGTAAACATCGTCAATGTCGTGTTCTTGGTGATAAAACTGCACAAAATATATCCATTATGTTAAGCGTTTCTAAGCGTTCGCCTGAAGATTTCAAATCCGATGTTTTATCTATGAATGAGGATACTCTTACTGAAAGTCTTGTAGATCAAATTATTCATTATCTACCTTCGGCAGAAGAGCTCAAGAAATTGGATGAACAAGCTCAACATATTCCTTTAGATGAATTTCATCCAGCCGAAAAGTTCGCTTGCATGGTTAGTTGGTCATCTTCTACTATATATTTTGTGTCTATTTGATTGTTTCTCATTTTTTTAAACAGCTTGGATCCGTTAAAAACCTCACTAATAGACTGAAATCCTTTTTATTCAAGTTGAAATTCAATGAAACATTAGCTGAAGTAAAGAAAGATATTGTTTCATATACAATGGCTTGTGAAGAAGTGTTAACATCGAAACGTTTTGCACAAGTAATTAAACTGACTCTTGGTATTGGTAATTATATGAATGCCGGATCATATAACGCTCGTGCGATTGGTTTTGAAATAAGCTTCCTGCCAAAATTGATATCAACTAAAACCAACGATAATAAGTCAACATTATTACATTTCATTGCGCAAACGATGGAGGAAAAATTTCCTGAATCGATGCGTTTCTACGAAGATCTTCATCATATAGATAAAGCTGTTCGAGGTTGGAATGTACAAATTATCTAGAATTATTATTTTTTAATTATTTCGAATTTTGTTTCAATAGCATCACCGGAAACAATCGCTAAAACATTGGGTTATTTTCGTACCAGTTTACGAGCATTAGAATTGGATCTAAAAACATTTAAGCCACATTCATCAGAAGATTGTTTTGGTGAAGTGATGGCATCATTCAGAGAAGTGGCTCAAGAACAATATCAGTTATTGGATGGAATGCATAAAAAAATGGAGAGCACTTTTCTTGAAATAGCTAAATATTTTTCATTTGATCCAAAACAATATTCAATGGAAGAATGTATGAATGACCTTAAACAATTTAAAGATCAATATGTTCAAGCATTATCACAGAATCAACAACATCGTGAAATTGAAGAGAAAAATCGTCGCGCTAAAGAAGCAAAAGAAAAAGCGGAAAAACAACGCCGTGAACGAATATCACATAAAATCGATCTAACAAAAACCGATGGAATGGATCAAGGTCTTATGGAACATTTACTCAATTCATTACATACAGGTTCAGCGTTTGCTCAACATAAACGTAAACGAACTAAAGCTGTTACTCCTCAAGGTAAGTAATTTGTCGTTAATGATTTTTTTTCGTAATCAAAATTTAAAAATTATTTATAATTCTAGATCGTCGTCAACAATTAAGTCGTACACGTTCACGTACATCATTAGAAATACGTAATTCAATTGGTAATAGTAGTGGTGGTGTTGGTGGTTCAGAATTTATTGTCGTTTCTTCAGGTAATAATGTCAAATATTGATTTCCATTAACAAACAACATTCGATTTACACTAAAATTATTCCTTGATATAAAAAAAAACATTGTTCAAAATCATTATAAATACACGTGGAAAGAATTTTTTTTCTCCTCTTCTATCATATCTATTAATAATTGTTATGGTACATTCCTTTTTTTTCATCACAAAAAATATAAAACAAAACAATGTCTTCCAATATAAAGTTTTTTTTCCAATTTTTTTTTTGTTTAAATTACACATATTACACATGAAAGATATATAAAAATATGAAATAAAAAATGTATTTTTTTCGATTAAAATGTTTTTTTTCATGTTTGATTAATGAAGGGGGTAATAGAGAAAAAAAAATTTCTATTATGATTTTGAACATCTGCCGCACCGAATAAAAGAAAAGAGAAAATGATAATTAAATTAAAAAATCAATTGACTAATTGATTTAATTGAATTCTTTTCATTTGTTATAATGGTAATTATATTCCATATATTTACCGAACAATTTTTTGAAATAAACATCAGCTAATCAAATAATTATGAGTAAAAATCTACTATCAAAAAAATTAAAAACATTTTGTCAAATGAAAATGATTTTGAAATCAATCGATATGCAATTTGGTAATTTGAGATGAAAATTTTGAATCTTTGGTTTTTTCCCGATAAATAATTGGATTTTTTTCTTATCTTTGCCATCTATCTTCAATCAATTGTTTGATTGAAGATATTCAAGAAAAATAAAAATGCAAATCGTTTGTCGGTATACGGTGATTTTATTTGTGATTCGGATCACTTTTATGTATTTGTTGATTAGAAATATGAATATTATCAATAATGAATTGATTATTATTTTTTCTATCTATCTTTTACTTTAACAACCAAAAAAATGACGCATTTGAAATAATTTTACATCATTTTCTGCGAAAAAGAAAAATTGAAATCTAATTCTCAAATTGACAGATCATCATAATATCACGTTTTGATTGATTGATTGATCGATTGATTAATAATTTGTGGCACGATGTAAAATTGATAGAAATAGAACTCATCAAATATGTACGTGTATTACAAAATTATACACATATTAATTTTGTAAAAAAAACTAAAATTCAAATGAATAGGAGATTTAAATAATCAAAAAAGAAAAAGAAAAAATATATTACAAAATTTTAAACCCTATCATGGAAATAGAGAAAAAAAATATCTACATCCAAACTGCATAAATAAACATTTAGGTCACATGAATGAATGAAATAATTCTTCTCTTTTCATCAAATGTATAAATATTGTACATTTAATTATCATTTATCATTATCAAATAGCCTCAATTTCTAATTCTGGATTAATCGGAAACTCAAGTTTATGTGCGTGTGTGTGTATACGAAAACATCGATTTGATGATTGAAATCTTAATTTTTTGTTCAAAATATTTTTTTACAATTATTTGCCCTTTCATATTTTTCATCCAATTTTTTCATTTGAAAATTGATATGATGATTATAATAGAAAAAAAAGAGAACAGAAGAAAAATGATAATATAATTTTCTTTTTTGGGTAAAAGAAAATTATATCCTGGCTTTTTGGTTCGAATGTCTACAAATAGATCTTCATAACGTTGACATTCTATTTGAGAAAAAAACATTGTACGTAAACTATTAATTTGTATCATTGAAATTTTTTGTTCTGATTGAAAAAATACCATACAGCTGTGTCAACGACTGAAAAGAATCCAGAAGGCTTTGTTTTTTTCATAATACTTTCCTATCGATTGTCATAATGATGTTTATTTTGTTCAGATTTTCTGATTTATTAACATTGTTATCAATATCATTATGATGATAATGTATATTGTCATCATCATTAATAAGCATTAATGTAAATATTGATAGATAGCCGAAACTTTTGAAAAAAAGAATTGATTCAACTTTTGTTTGAAATTGTCATTCATCAATCAAACATTTTTTTTAATCATTTATCCAAGCAGAAAAACAATCATTATCATATTTATATTTTCTGTCAAAAACTGAATTCTTTTGCAAAAAAAATATTCTTCTACAATCCAAATCCAAAATGATTATCAAAAATTTTTCCATTATTGATTATTGTGTATTTGTTGGTCTACTTGTTGCATCATCATTTATTGGAATATTTTTTGCATGGAGAGCCCGTAATTCACAATCATCAACCGGTTATTTAACCGGTAATCGAAAATTATCAATATTTCCTGTAACAATGTCATTGGTTGCCAGTTTTATGTCAACAAATACATTGTTAGGTGTTCCGGCTGAAGTTTATCAAGTTGGTACACAATTTGCAATGCAAATTTTTTCAATTATTTTGGTCATTATATTGGCTGCTGAAGTTTTTATGCCAGTATATTATGATCTAGAAATTGTATCAATTAATGAGGTAAAATTTTTTTTATCTATTTCTGGTGAGCTAAATTTTAATATTTTCATTCATACCTAGTATCTGTTGAAAAGATTTAATTCCAAAAATCTTAAAATGGCCGGTTCATTAGGTTTTCTCATAGCTACTGTAAGTTAAACGAAAAGAAAAGAAATCACAGAATTAAAATTTAATTTCAAATCAAACAAAAAATTTTTGTCACTAGATGCCGTATATGGCTGTCGTATTATATGGACCAGCAATTGCATTAAGTTCCGTCACACCTGTTTCGATTCCAACATCAATTTTGGTTGTTGGCATTATCTGTACATTCTATACATCAATTGTATGAAAAGAAAATGATTTTTTTTCCATCTAAAATATTATAATAATTTTCTATTTAGGGTGGAATAAAAGCCGTTATTTGGACTGATGTATTACAATGTATACTAATGTTTCTTGGCGTTGCAATTGTCATCCTACAAGGATTAATCGAAATTGGTGGATTTTCAAATGCAATCAACATACTTGATCAGGGTGGACGTCTCAAATTATTAAAGTAATTATATAATTTGATTGATAAAATTATTAAATAACCATTATTGAATAAAAATTCCAAATGAATATAGTTTTAAATTTAACATCTATAATCATGATAATATTTGGAATGTTTTAATGGGATCATCAATTAGTTGGGGGGCATGTTATTGTGTTAGTCAGACACAAGTTCAACGTTATTGTTCGATGCGATCGAAACAATTTGCTAAACGGTATATTTCTTTTTTAGCCAAATTAATTAAATTAATCTAAAAATTTATTAAATTAATTAAATAGTACATTATATTATAATCTGCCTGGCCTTTTGTGTTTATCAGTCATGTCTATATTGAGTGGTGTCGTTATCTATGGCAAATATCATGATTGTGATCCGGTCACATTGGGTATCATCAAACGACATGATCAATTGGTGCCATATTATGTAATGGATACATTGGCTAGATTTCCTGGTTTGCCTGGATTATTTGTAGCTTGTGTATTCAGTGGGTCATTGAGTACATTATCATCTGGATTCAATGCATTAGCAGCTGTTACCTGGGAAGATTTACTCAAAGAACGATTCTCTTGGGCCGCTAAAGATGATTATCGATCTATGAGAGCCGTCCGTTTACTGGCATTTGGTTATGGATTATTAGCCATTATTATGTCATTTGGTGTCGGAAGTTTAGGCACCGTAATGCAAGCATCAATGTCATTGTTCGGTTCGATGAACGGACCGTTGTTTGGCCTGTTTAGCATTGCTATACTTTGCCGTTTTGTCAATTCAAAAGGAGCAATGGCTGGTTTTCTTTGCGGTTTGGCTGTTTCTTTATCAATTTCATTGGGTGGCATCCTTCATCCACGACCACATATTTCTCTTCGTACTACCATTGACAATTGTTCAACAGAAATTCGTGAATATTATCTATCACCATCATCGGCCAATGATCATTTTTTACAGATGAATAGCCGTTTTCTAACATCATATCAACCTGAAGGTGTGGGTAAAGTATTACACATAAGCTACCTAATCTTTTCGGTAGTCGGTTTTGTTGTTTGTGTAGTAGTTGGTTTAACAGTTTCATTATTGACTGGTGGTCATCATGAAAATCGAAAACTTGATCAACGACTATTATCACCAATCGTACGTAATATTTCATTCCTTTCAAATGTAAACTTAGATGGAAATTCCAATAATAATAATAATAATAATAATAATAATAATAATAATAATGTAAAGGTCGATGGCAGCTTTATTGATCGAAAAAATTCAACACAAAAACAATCCGAAAAGATTGAAATGGGTATCACTAATGTTGCATTTACTAATGATCATGTTAAATCATAAAAATTTATTCATTTTTATTCACGCACACACACACACACAAAATTTATCAAATTAAACGGTTTTATTTTTTTCCAGAAATGAAAAAAAAAACAAATTTATAATTAATTTTACATTGTTTTCATTCCATATTTTTTTAAAAAAATTTTATTTGTTATAGATACAAACCAGAAAATGTTTAAAATGTGGTTTTTAAATTTATTATATGTTAAAGTTTCATTTATATTTTAATTCGTTGTTGTTTAAACAAAATAATTAATTATGAAAACTAAATATTAATTTATATTAATAATAATAAAATGCAATAGATTGAATTGATTTTGTTTTGCTTGGTTTTGGATTCTAAAAATGAAAAAAAAAGATAATTAGAAGAAATAAATTTAATATCGATTAATTAATTATAAATGTAGATTGATAAATGAATGAATAAATATAATTAAAGAAGATTTAATGGTGGTAATCCTTGATCATCTTCTTCACGTGATTCAACATTCATTGATGATAATGGTGAACTTTCCGAAATATGACGTATAAGATCATAATTTTCATAATTATCGGCTTCTTTTTGTAGTATTACTTTGGCTAATTGTTCATACATACGTGTATTATCATTATCAAAATAACTACGAACCCAATCAAGTATCCATCGTGGTACATAACCAAATTGTATTGAATCATCAATTACTTGTGATGAAGTAATATTAAAATCTGATACTTGCATCCATTCATCTTCAATATTAGTTTCAAATGTACCATTCAAACGAATGTGTGAAAAATTGGCTGCATAATCACCATAAATATCTGTTACATAAAAATTATATTTTAATTTTGCAGCTACATGCGCTGATCGAATCTCAGCTTCAAATGGTAATAACAGATGAACACCATCAGAATCTAATTTTTTAGCACAAGATGGACTTGAACGGGCCAATTCAGCAAAATGTGTGATTCGTGCATCGAATATAGTGATAGCACCTAAAATTGTAGTTAAAATGTTTATAACAAAACAAATAAACAAAAAAAGTTTTTCAAATTCAATTAGAATCAATGCAAAAATGAATACCATTCTGGACGGTAATTTTTTCTTCTGGCAAATGAATTCGCATTTTTTCAAACAATAATTCCAGTACCGCATCAGCATTTATTTCACAATCTTCTTGATGTTGTTGAGAATGGATAGAGGGATAATGATGTTTATGATGTCCACCAACTGCCCTATGTATAACAACCGATGATGATGATGTCAATCCTGATGATGATGATGATGGCAAATTCGATGGTTTATTATTATGATGTCCATAATGATGTGGATGAAACATATGATGCATTATTGGCAATGCTTGGTAAGCAACAGCGGCTGCCGATGATGGTGCTGATGAAGATGATGACGATGATGATGATAATTGTCCAGGAGCGATAATACCACCATTTGTAGCAATGGCCATCGGTGATCCTACCATCATGGCCATTGAACGAGCCGAGGGATATGATGATGATGATGATGATGATGATGATGGCGGTAACGGATTATGTTGACGATATTGTCGATGATGATTTTGTTGTTGTTGATTATGATGATGATAAACCAAATTATTATTCAACGATGATGTTGTCGGTGACAATAATGGTAAATTCTGCTTGTTGATTAATTCTATTAGGATTTGCATTAAATAAGATTCAGGATTGAAAATTAAATTTGTAAAATTCAAATTCAAATTAAATCTTTTTATTGTATAGGCATGTGTGTTTGTGTTCGTTTTCAGTGTGAAATATTTCATCGAAAATATCGAAAAAATTTAAAAACATCAAAACAAAATAATGAACTGCTTATATGGCAATCATTTTCACTTACTATCACAATGGCAGATGGTATTGGTCAACGTTGACCATAAACAAAAAATGATCATTACATTCCATAGGATTTTATTAATGTTCCAATATTGTTGCCGTTGTTTATAAATTATTATTGTTGTCAATATTGATGATAATTTTTTATCATTATTAATGATCATCATTGATTCAAGACTAGTATTGTCTCGTTGTTTAATAAATTTTTGATCATTACAATGATCAATAATATTTAGATGATGATTATGTTCATTATCATCATTTGAATAATTTAATTTTTGTTGATGACAATAATTATTATGAATCATTTCACAGCTATAATCTAATTTTTTATCATATTGATCATTGAATTCTGTTCTTATTGATTCTTGTTGTTTTTGTTGTTGTTGATGTTGTTGTTGCTGTTGCTGCAGTTGATGTTGCTGAAATCGATGATGATCAATTTTCAATTTTTCTTCTTCCATCAATTTTGATGTTAAGTTATTGATTAACATTGTCAAAATTAACGATTCGTCATTAAAAGTCATTTTTTTCAATTCTTAATCAATGAATGAGTTTAACTTTGCACACAAAAACAGATTAATAGAATGAAAAATTTTCATTAATTTAAAAAAATCAAAAAAAAATATAAAATAAAATAAAACAAATTCAAATTAACAACAAACGACAATTTCACGGTAATTGCACACATACACATGCACCGACCGACCAAACACACCAACGAAAACGTCAAACAAATTGAACCAGACAGATTTGAAGAAGTTGAATATGAAAAAAAACTAAAATAGAAATTTTAGCTATCACACTATATTTTTTTTGACCACCATCATTACCATTATCATTATCATTATCATCATTTGGTCCCCTTCATCTATTCGTTTCAATTTTTATTTTTATGTCATTCAACAAATAATCATTCTGGCTGAAGAGCCGAATATAATTTTTTTTTCATCTAAGAAGAATGTTTGTCTTCAAGATGATGATGAGAGTCATTCACTCAAATACATACAGGACATTGAATACCTTCACGCACACACACACACACACATGAAGAGAGAGAGAGAGAGAGAGAGAGGTTGATATATGGCTCCAGATAACGGATAGATAACGGTTTTTCATTTCTCTCTCTCTCTCTCTCTCTCTCTCGTTATTTTCACATTATTTTCTCGTTTGTTTTAAATAAATATTCAGACCCCGAATATAGATATCTAAATTTATTTATTTTTGCTTCTTCTTCTTCTTCTTTATTTATATTTTTTTTCACTCATCTTTTAAAAATGAAATGTCTAGTTTTTTTTTGATTTTTAACTGTCATATTTAACTAGAAAAAATCAACAAACTAATCATAAAAATAATTGGCCATTTTTTTCCCTGTCTTATCTTTCATTCATTCATTTAAAGTATTTTTCCATATTTATTTGTTTACATTTTTAAAAACAATTTAAAACTAACAAAGGTTTAGGTTTATTTGTTTGATGAGATAAGAAGAAGAAAAAGAAGGGAAAAAAATTAGATCAAGAATAAAATTATAATGAAACCTACCTTATTCGAATTTGTGTTTAAATTAATTTTTTCATTCTTTGAATAATAAAAACAAAACACATTTTTTTCACAAAACAATTATCAACAAAAATCTAATAATTTATCTCATCATGATGGCCGTATTTATTATGATGATGATGATCTTGTTCGATGAACAACTAAAAGGCCAAATTATTCAATATTTGGTAACATTATTTTGTTGCTAACATAGAAAACTAAAATCTATGTTTGTGTGTGTGCGTATGTAATTGGGGGTATTTTGTTGTTCTGGATTTGCATCTCATTTTGTATATTTCTAACACTACTACTAAACTTGTGTAATTTTTTTTATGTGAAATGTCATAGACCTGAACCATTCAATAATAATAACAATAAAAGGCCACTGGCCATTGGTTAATGACTTCAATGATGACTTTCCCAATAATAATAAAAAATATTTAGAAAATCCCATGATAAATGAAAATCTGAACGAATTTTGTTTTTTTATTCGCTTGTTATTTCATTTTTAACGAAACGTGTTTGATATGATTGCGGTTTTTTTCAATCATCATCATCCTGATCTTCAATTTCTTTTTCTTCTTCGTTCGAGCTAACTGAACAAGTTTGCTTGAATGAAGAAAAAAAAATCAAATCAAATAGAAACGATAAGAATAAAAATAAATAAGAGACCAAAATCAAGATCAAGATCAAGATACTACTGGTAAAATATAGGAGAAAGAAAAAAACTGACCAAACTGGTGTTTATACAGTGTGTGTGTGCATATAAAACCTATACAAAATAATTATGGTTATTAAATTATAATCAAATATCAATGTGATTAAGAGAAATGGCAAAAAAATCATCATCATCATTCATGATTTTTTTTTGTTCAATATTTACGCTAATTATTTTTTCCCAATTAGAAAACACATTGCGAATAAAGCAGCAAAAAACCCAAATCAGATAAAGCCAAGTCTCACTAAGCCATCAATGTTTGTGTGTGGTAGATGAACAACAACAAAACTTCCTGAATTTTTTCAAAAAAATATGATCATTTGACTTTATTATCCTTGATGATCTATTTAAAATTTAAATTAATTTTGAAAATTTTCAACAAAAAAAAATGGTTACAATGATTTTATTTTCAATTTTTAAAATAAAAATATCAAAATTAGAATCAAAAATAAAGATGGCACTACTTTTTTTTTCTTTTAAATCGAAAATAAAACTTTCATTTCTCCCATTATACAACATTAATCAATTGATATTATTTTTGTTGTTATCAAAAGATATCCATAGTAATTTCTTATTTTGTTTTTTCACCAAAAATTATGATGATAACAAATCAACTATGAAGCTATCATCATATGATGAAACGCCCATCAAATCCAGGCAACATAAGCGAGTAATATATGATTTTTTTTTTGTTGTAAAGAGAAAGGAAATCTGTGTACGTTGATTGTTTATCCATTAAAATTTTGATCTTTTTTTTTGGTTTGCCCGAAAATAATTTTTCTTTGTGATCAAATGTTTGCTGTATGATATTTTTGGTCATCTTCATAAATTAAAAAAAAAATCACCGCGGACGAGGAAAATCCAGAAAAATATTGTTGTTTTTTTGTTTATCATTATTGCCTGTTTGTTTTGTTTGTTGACCAAAAATTTTTTTCCTCGTCATAAAAATATAGAATAGAAAAAAATGAGTAGCCGAGATCGTATCAGTATATTTCCATCTCGTATGGCCCAGACGATCATGAAAGGTCGTTTAAAAGGTGCACAAAAAGGTCATTCATTATTGAAGAAAAAAGCCGATGCATTACAGTTACGTTTTCGTGCCATTTTAAAGAAAATTGTTGAAACAAAATCATTGATGGGCGATGTAATGCGCGAAGCATTATTCTCATTAGCCGAAGGTAAATTTACGGCTAAATTTGATTTCAACAATATTGTATTGCAAAACGTAAATAAAGCACAATTTGGCGTTATTACCCGTAAGGATAATGTAGCCGGTGTATTATTGCCCGTTTTTGAAACAGCACAAAGTGGTGCCGATTCAAATGAATTTGCTGGCCTTTCTGGTGGTGGTCAACAATTTACACGTATCAAAAAGAATTTTGAACGTGCAATCAAATTATTGGTAGATTTAGCTTCATTACAAACATCATTCATTACATTGGATGGTGTTATCAAATCAACTAATCGTCGTGTTAATGCATTGGAACATGTTGTTATACCACGTATCGAACGTACTATACAATATATTACATCAGAATTAGATGAAATGGAACGTGAAGAATTTTATCGTTTGAAAAAAGTACAGGAAAAAAAGAAAAAAATTCGTGCACAATCGGATGCTGATTTAAAATTGATGAGAAAATTAGGTGAATATCATGAGCCACCAAGCCTTTTGGATGTTAATGAAGATGATCAGGATGAGATTCTTTTCTAAATACAAAAACAAAGAAAACTAAAACAAAATAACAAATCATTATCACTATCATCATTTAAAAATCATCATCATTTTCATCATAAATATATTCTACTAATCCAGAATTGCTTAAAATTTTTTTCCTCTATAATTCTTCGTATATTTTAATCAGATATGATTTGCCTTCAAAAAAAACTGTAGAGAGTTTCAATCATTTTATTCTAATTTTTTCTTCCAAATTATTATTCAATCCAAAATAAAAAATCTTTTCAGAAACAACAACAACAACAAAAAAAAATTCCTAATTGACTTTGCTTCCATGATCATTATTCGAAAAAAAAATTTGAATTAATTCAATCAATCCACAATAGATGGAGACCTGTTTGTTTTGGATCACAGAATTCAGTTAAATGCTCATCGAAGAAAAAAAAGAACTGAACATCATGATATTTTGAGTAAAAAAAAAAAAAATATATGCGTTTGTTTGTGTATGATTGCCAAGAAAATAATGAAGAAAAATCATCATTATTTTTTTTCATATACATACATATAACACACACACGCAAACATATAAAACCCTTATAGAAAAAAAAACAACAACAATTACAATAGTGGGAGTAATGTAATTTTTTGTTTTCGTTTTTTTTTTATTCACTCATCATTTGGGATAAATAAAATTTATTTTTTGTTTGGCATTGCGCACCTTTTAGTGTATTTTGCACCCAGTCATATCATTTTTTTTTTTAATTCAACCAATTTGTTTATTTGTTTTGTTAATAAAAACAAAATAAGAATAACAACAACAACAACAACAAATTCCTAACCTATGGAAAATATTTGAAAAATTTTTTCAATTACAACAACATTTATCTCTTATTTTTCTGTTATAAATTTTTGTTTCTTCCCTTCCTATCTAACCACAATTGACATTTTTGCCAATTGAGATACCTGAATGATTATTGATGTTTAATGTCGAATTATTTATGAATATAAAGCAATGACGATTGTTGACATCAATATTTTTTGTGAACAAAAATTAATGAATATAAAATAATGGCTACATGTAGCCATAATGATGATATTATCATGACTAATCTTAACGATAAACAAGATATTCATTATCATCTATGTCATCAGGCTCCATTAATTACTGGTATGTTTATTCTCATCGATTACGACCTAAGAAATTGTTATTATTTTTATTACCATAGTTTTCGGTGAGTTGAGCGATTTTCTACTTCAGGGACATTTGGCCACACAGATCAATTCGGATCTTGCTCGTGAAAGTATTGATTGGCAAAAGTAATTGGAATTGTTATTTTGATAATGAATGTATGATAAATAAAGTTTTTTTTAAATTCAAATAGCTTTTATGATGTTTCACCGATTCCGGTATATGTTGAAGCATATTTCGTACGTTTAAATGATCGTCAACATTTGTTATGGGATCCACCACCTACACCAAAATCACCAATTATCGATTCGCCATCCCAATCGACACCAACAACAGCCAAACTTTCAGCAACTATTTCTAACAATGATTCAACCATCGGATCAAATCGTATACGTCAATTAAATGCCTCAACATTGAAACGACATCATTCGTTTCAGAATATGATAACATCTGCCTCAAATATTAATGGTCAAAATGTCCGTTCAATATTAGGATCGCATACGAATTCTAATTCAGCCATAGCTGATTCACAACAGCAACAACAACAACAACAACAACAATCGCTTTTATCGATTGATTATCATCATCTGTTCAATTTGTTGAGTCGAAGATATCTTGTCAATAATGGTGCACGCGTTTTACTTAATTCATATTGGCTTGATTCAAATCATGATCTCGAAAGCTATAATAGCCAGATACGCGATTCATTGTTGGATTGGTTTCAAAAAATTCTTCAAATTGCAACAAATCAACATCAACTTGGTTTAAATCAGGATTTTAGTCTTGATTTTTTTGTTGTTATTGTTATCCGTAACTGTATCAATTCAAGCAACACATGTAACAATCGAATGACAACGACGAAACACTCCCAAGAACAATTGCTCAATCTGAACAACTTAGTTAATGAAACAAATTCTTCATCACGATCATCATCATCAACAGTAAATCTGACCACAGCTAAAGCCCCAAAGAATAGTGATAAATCACCAAATATTGGTAAAAAACAAATGAGCCGAATTCAAACACAACCACCACATCCATTATCATCATCAATGTCATCATTAAATACTACGGGTCATGGAAGTGCTGGATCGCTGTCACAATCGCCCACCTACCTAACTCATCAACAATTAGCAGATCAGATTCGTAATGACCTTCTCGTTTGTTTTCAGCTTTTTCGCCAAAATCAATCCACCAATTGTAGCAATATGGCACAAAGTGGAATTCCATCAAATAATTCTCGTATCGCTCATCAACTCCTGGAACGCATAATTATTTTTGATTCAACATCTAATTCTTCATCGAATGCCCAAAATATGTCAAATATGAATCAATCCAATATTTCGACAGGTTCAAATACGGGTGGTTCTGTAACAAATAATATGGCTACATCAACTAATCCGATTTTGTCAAGCACGGCTCGAACATTCTCGGCACTGAGTAATTTTTCTACTAGTTCAATTAAAATTGCGCCAACCTCGATGATCTTAATGTCACCGACAAAAAGTGGATCTCGTTTATCTAAAACGTCTGCGTTATTGACGGGTACGTCATCCACGTCATCATCATCATCTTCATCTGTAGCTGGATCAATGTCATCAACAGTCAGTTATAATTACAGTCAATTTATTATCAAAATTCGTCAGTTTTTGTTAGAATTTTACTCAAAACAATTTCATTGTTTTGAGAAATTGATACGCCATATTCGTGAACTTCGTACCGACCCGGATTGGGATTTTTTTGGGTTCTTTTTGCTTCAAGAAGAACTTGCTTTTGCTCATGAATCGCTTGGTCTTTATAATAAAGCATTGGTTCAATATGATGAGCTTGATGCCCTTTTTTCTCAATTAATTCTAAACGCTTCACATCATGGTGGTTTCGGCGCACCACGATGGCTTCGTTATCGTCTTATGCAATCGATCGATGATTCATTAATTATGGAAAATGAAACAAATAGTAATAATAAAAATACCAAGTCAGAAGCTTGGACCGGTCTGTGCCTTTGTAATCAAGAATCAATCATGAAACTACGAATGTCGATAGTCGAATCTGTTTTGGCCGATATTTCAACCACTGTATCAGATTTCTCATTATCATCTAGTCCCCTGCTCGGTGGCGATCCACTTGGTGTGCAAATAAAACCGAACAGTCATCAAATTAGTTTATTAGATTTCCGTAATTATCTTTATGCACGCCAATGTCATTTATTGTGTTTGTTGAACAAACCATGGGAATTGGCTTCTCGAGCTCTTCCATTTTTACAAACGGCTGTTGCCGAATTGAACATGTTAGAGGTAAGTTGTGCTTTCATTCTTATAAATGATTATAATGTAATTTATATCTGAAGATTTCGATGACTCCTGGAGGTATCGCATGTTGGGTGTTTCTTTCAGTCCTCGAAATTTTGCATAAATGTGAACGATATAGTGATTCATCTCAATTGGAATCATATTCCTATCATACTGTAGGCCTATGGTCATACGCACGTGATAATGTATGTATTATTCTAGAAAACTTTTTTTTTCATCTTAACTGATATATTCTTAATGATTATTAAATTAAGTTAATTGAGCTTGGAAAAATCTGTAATTTAATGCCCTATGGTGATTCCACAATATATGGTGATATCAAATCGACAAATACTCGTTCATCCTATTCATCTGAACATTTACATCGAATGGTTGAATTAGTGGCTGGTATGGGTGCAGATCCACATATCCGTCCATCAAGTAATTCATTGATTGTTTTATTGGTATATATTTATTTTAATTGTGATTCGCTTATGTGATAGGTTCCAGTCAAAGTGATGATGATTGGATGAGTCCACAAGAACGTTTAAAAGATGCCCTTTCATCTCCAGAATCATTTTTGCGTCATTATCTAGAAATAACTGAATTAACAATGGGAACCTACAAACATATCGGTCATATTCGCTGCGCCCGATTGATTGGAAAACAATTAGCCGAGTTGAATCTGTAAGTGTGTTCTTATTATTTGTTTTTCTCTCATTGAATTTATTTTAAATAGGAAACTAAACAAACCACAACAGGCATTACCTTTCTTGTTGGATCTGTATCATATGTTTCAGATGGAACATTGGTCAATGCTCAAGCAAGAAGCATGTCGTTTATTAGCTCAATGTTTGGAACAACTTTATTTCAATATTTCAAATACATTGATACAGCCTGTTACTGATCACCAATCATCTTCATGTAATAATTTCAATCTAGAGCCAATTATACGAAGTGCTTTTCGTACATACCTCATATTATTTTTAAAGCCAGAAGGATTATTAACAATTCAATCACAAAAACTATTCGATTCGGGTAGCCATCTGGTGGATATGTGCCAGAATAAAAATCTATCACAATATTATTGCCATAATTATCTGGAATCCATGTTTCGTCTTATACGCCATTATGAAATGCGTGCTTTCAAACTTAAAGACATGTTGTTTAAACAATCGAACGAAAAGTTGCCAGAAAACTTGGCTAATTTCGAATGGTTGAATCAAAAATTATTGGCCATACATAATTCTCATTCTGACCTGTTTAATGAAGGATCGTCAAATTCCTCGATTGGTGGTCGATCTAGTTCACGGTCATCGCCTAATGATCCAATTGGTTGCAATTCAAATTCGTCTTCCAGCTCGAACATTAACAATAATTTTGGCGATTCAACCGAATCAACCATTAAAAAACAACGAAATAATCATCAAGAATCAAATTTCAACAAAGCGAATTCAAATGAACTTCTGGCCAGTCAGCAACAGCAACAATGTGGTAGAAGCTTTAATGATCCAGGGTTAGGTCGTAGTTATTCGCATCATTCATCATCATCATTGTCATCATCATCAAATTATAATGAGCCAAATTTTTTCCAAATCGAATCTATTGAAATAGACTGTGATTCATCTTTAAATGATACTAATTCTTTACGTTTAAATGGTAGTTCATCTAATGTAACAACTTCTCGAAAGAATAATCAAAGTTTCATTGCCGGATCTGTATTGACTTTGCGATTGAAGTTATTTAGCCACTTAGGATTGCCACTAAAATTGGATCGTATGCTTGTGACTGTTCAATGTCATAGAAATGATCCTTGGTTATCGACATTACCTAATTCAGTGAATAATCGAAATGAAAAAAGTTCACAAGAGACTAATGCTCAGGTTCAAAAATGTTCATGTATGATTGGTACAGATTCTCAACAATTGCAACGAGATTCATCTGAAAGTATTGATTGTATAAATGGTTATAACCGATTATCATCGTGCTGTCAGATACCATCAGCTCAGGTAGAAAGATATTATTGTCAAACACTACGATTAACCGGTGTTAAATGTTTGAATGGTGATCGTTTATTACGACGTACAGATTTTCTTGGTTATCGAAACGGATCCTTTGATGGTTATCATAAATTTATGTCACAATCATTACCTATATCATTACTAAATCAACGTCTTTCTTATGACGATTATTCCAAGTATTTTCGTTTTTTGTCATCACAATTTCAATTTTCTGTTCTGAATTCTGATGAAATATTAATGCTGGAAACTGGTTCAAATGAATATGAACTTCGATTCTATTCACCTGAAAATCTGCACACAATTGCCCAACAATTAGATCTTTTTGATCAATCTGAATCGGCCCCAACAAATCATCACATTAATCATCTTTGGTTTAATCTTGATCAATTAATTTTGTTTTGTCACTTTGATAATCAATTGCAAAATTCATCAGCTATGGAACAGAAAAATCAGACAATGAACTTTGCATTAATTGAAGATTTTTCTACTGCCATTCGTTCTATCAATTTTAATCGATCGATCAGCGGAGGTAACGCACATGGAATCTCTAGTTTTCGATTAGTCGAATGTCCGCCATCTATCGAATTGGTGCCATTATTTGAACCAGAAGAATCGAATTTTCAAACAATGTCTAATATGTGTTTTATTGGTATTGAACAATCAGTATGTTTAAGATTAAATTCAGGCACTTCAAAACTACCAAAAGGCTTAAAATGTTTTATTAAAATCAATCAAATATCATCTATGCCATCAAGCACGGCAATCATTTCTAGTAATCATATGGAGCCATTTGAATATAATTCTCGTCTTATCAACGTTACGTTATATCAACCAAATGATAATGAAGAACTTTTTTATTTTTTTCTTGATCATCAATTGGAACCTTTTGAAACATATCAATTGAATTTACGTCTTCGTTCATCGTATCACCGATCGAAATTGATTCAAATTCATGGTACAAATAATTGGAATCAAATTTCCAGCATTGATTCGAAGCCAAAACATGGAGGATCAGCAAGCCAAGTTGATCAATATGAATTCCAATTATCATTAACATGGAAGAATTCGGATAATGTTCAGACATTCGACCTGCCATTCAATCAATCATCGTTGGATACTCAAATGGCCTGTTGTCAATTTACTTTATCTGATCCATTCGATGTTTTTCCTCGTGTATACACGCCTTCTCCACAACGTAAACTTTTAAAAATTCAAGTTCGTGGCTCTCAAAGATTGCCATCTTATATTGAACTATATTTTCAACATCCTACATTGATTGTTCCATTTTTGGATTCAAATGAAATCAATATACTAAAACCGATTGGTATGGAAAACGATATAAATGACCATGAATTTCAACAAAAATTGATGGCATCCAGTGAAATCAATTTTGTATGGGTTTTAGAAACAAATCATAATCATTTGTTGAATTTAAACAAAATGAATCTCGAACTTCAGTTTAAACCTAAATTCATTACAAATGAATCGATTCTTTTAAGTAATGATAACCAACAATTTGGATCGATAGTAAAAATTTCTTATATAATATCGATACAATATTCCTGTCGAACACGATATACAATCAGACAGTGGATCGAACCATTGATCAAAAATCAAACTGGCACTAAAAATAGTACTAGTGAAATCATACGGATTGGACATTCATGTTTATTGCGTATTAAAATTGAACGTTTAGATTCTAGTGATGAAGATGAATTCATTATGTATGAATTGATTTGTGATCCACAATTATGGCAGTTTGTTTCAATTAGTTCTTCACAACAATTAGAAGATTCTAACAATAATATTGACGATAGTATTAGTGAATTGAATGGTGGTCCTGTATCGATAAGTTCACATCAATCATTACAATCAACTACAACACTTTCGTCAATGGCGATAAATGATGGATCTCGAGTGATCAAATTCATAGGTCAATCATCATCGAACATGGTTAATAATGAAGAATCACAATCACAACGACGATCATTTGAAACATCATTTGAAGTAGTACCATTAATAGACGGATATATACCATTACCTTTAGTTCGATTATCTCAATATAAAATAATATCAAATGAATCTAACAATGTACATGATTCTGGACGAATAACACCAAATACTAATAATCGCATTGGTCAATCTTCCAATAATACTTTGCAAAAAACAACAAGTAATGCAATCGAATCAATTTCAGCAATGCTATCAGAAAATCTTTCGTTATCCGGAAAAAATTGGTCAAAATATCTTACATCATCGAATAGTTCACAACAAGAACAACGAATCAATGTTGATAATAATAATGATGCTCAACAGCAATCATCATTGAATTCAATTACATCATTACGTAATGCACGATTAGAACCATTCGAACCTGGACAGGTATATAATTATAATCGTTCCAGTCAAGTTTATGTATTACCTTCGAATGTTGGCGGTAGTCAAAACATTGAAAATTAAATGAAATTTTTATTATTTTCTTCATTTTATTTATCCTTGTTCGTTGTTTTTGTTTTTTTACTGTTTGTCATCATTAACTTTATTTTTTTCCCATCTATTAAAAAAACAAAAATATGATGAATTTTTTCATTTATCTTTGTATTGTTTTTTGATATTTTATCATATTAAATAATAATAAAAAACTTTTTTTCTCAAATCAATTGTTATTTTATTGAGTTGTTTCTGGTTCTTCTTTTAGTATTTCTAAAGAAGATATGGATGTTTGGGTTGTTTCTTCATTCACACTTTCCATCGGTTGGTTTGATGATTCCAAAGACAATTTTTCTTCCTCATTGTTCGTTTCATTTCTGTAATATTCATTTTTTTAAAATTAAGAAAACTTGAATAAAATCATAAAATAATTACGTTTGCATTGATTGCTTTTCCTGTTCATCCAAATTTTGATTCAAATTTTGTATTTGTTCACGTGCCATTTGGCAATGAAGTTTCAATTCTTCAATTGATTGTTGATGAATTTCTTGATTAGTTTGTTCCAATGCTTCAACAGCGATTGCAGCGGCTGGTGAACGATCAGATAATGTTGAAACTAATTTTGTACTTTCAACCAATGCTTCGGTTAATAATCGAAGTTGTTCAATCTTTTCACGAAAAGCTCGTTCAGAATTATCACGTTCGAATTGAAGTTGAGTTTTCATTTCTTGAATTTTCATCAATTGTTCTCGTTTTTTCTTCAACTCTTGATCCAATTCAATTTGTTTTTGACGTAACATATTTTGTAGATGTTCAATCTCTTCAATTTCACCAATCATATTATTCGATTCATTTTTGGAATCCATTTTTTCTAGTAAACAAAAGTTGAGTAAAATAAAAAAACGTGCTCACCTCACGGATATTGCAATGAATGTATCGATGCTTGATGCGAATATCACTATTTCTTTAAATCATACTGAATCAAGCCAAAAAAAAAAATTCAACCAGTTATAAATAGCAACTGAGTAAAGAAAAATAAGATCATTTTTTCCGTTTGTTGGAATGTAGCCAATTGAAAACTTAGTAAAAAGGTGTGCAACAATTTTTGGTTTTTCATTCAAAATTTCAATTCATCTTAACATCAATAAAATCTTTGGTTGGTTCAAGATTTTCTGTATGAACATTATTTTGAGATATTTCGATAATATTCTTCAATATTTTCTTTAAAAAATTGTTACTATTCTAAATACAGATGGCGTCAATTGTATCATTGCGAAAAAAAAATCAATAAAAAATGATGATAAAACACAACCCAAAACTTTTATTTGGGAAGTTTTTTTTTCGTTGGAAATAGGAGAAGTTGTTTGTTATGATTCAAACTAAAATATATGATGATATTTAATTGATCTGTTTTGATTGATTTATTTGGCCTCTTCATCAATTAAATTTCTTTTTTTTTCAATTTAATAATTCATACGAAAGGAAATTTTTTTTCCCATAATAGCTGTTAACTTTGAAAAAAAACAAGATACAATAACAAACTAATGTTTATTTTGCTAAAGAATTTACCTTTAACGAAAATGAATATTTAAAAAAAACAAACAAATCCATTTCAAGATGAATATAATGGAATCGAACAAACAACATTCAAAAAAAAAAAACATTTTTTAAAATGAAAATGAAGCACACAAAGCAAACGAAACATTTTGATCTATTCATTAAAATTATTCATTTCGATAACTAATTGAATAAGAAAAAAAGAAAATTATTCATTTTGTTTCATTCAATTCCTCTATGTGAATGCATTCGGTGTCATGATAAATCATTAGAATTTTGGAATATTTGGTTAAAGTTACAAATCATCATAACGAAAAAAAAAGAAAAACATGAATCAAAATCGTTTTTTTCAATAGTAAAAAAACCGTTATTATGTTTTTTTTTTTGTAGAAAAAGTAATGGCATTCAACAAAATGAATTCGACAGAAAATCGAATGTTCAAACAAACTAAAAAAAATTGAATTTTTGTTTTCTATTCCTTTAGGAGATTTCTATGTTATCTGGTGTAGGTGTATGTTATTCTTTCTTTCTTTCTCGCTTTGTGTGTAAGCCGAAAATGTTATTTGTTTTTTTTCGGTTTTCTACCTTCAAGTCATTTTATTTTGGAATTTAACCTAGAAAAAATGCCTATGATGATGACAATCAAAAAATCCACATTATTTTTTTTTTTTGATTTTCAAGAATTTTTCACTGAACATGATCATATAATTTTGAATTCAAAATGTTTATTTTATTCGTATCAATCTGAATGGACTTTTTTCATTTTTTTTCCTTCATCAATGGATTATTAGTAATTTGAGTGAGGATTTTTTTCTTTGAATTTATTTTATAAATTCAATTCCAAATTATTTTCGAAGCCGTATTAGTTTTTGTTGTTGATGTTGTAAGAAAATGAAATGAACTAAGAATATTTGAAATTCATCGACAACATCCGAAAATAACAAACAAGAAATACAAAGTTAAAAAAGTTATTGAGAAAATCCTATTTATAGAATCCTATATCTTATTCATTAGGATTATCCAGAAGTAAAACAAAACTTTTCAGTGAGTAAATAAAATGTAAAGTATTTGAAGGATATAATCATCATGTACAATTAAGAATTCCTGTTTTAAAAAAGAAAATTTAAAAAAAAATCTCAATTCTTGGATTTTTAAATTACAATATAAACATAATTATCCGGTAAAAAACATTTTGATGAATTCATTTACTGAAAACAAAAATTGAAATTTTCAATGCAAAGAATGAGGTTCACTACCAAAACATAATAATAATTATCACCATCATTATCATCTGATTCTTTGTTTAATCGTTTTTTTTTCTCATTTATTCATTAGGTTCAAGGCTATAATCATTTACTTTTTTTTCCTCCGAATTTGAGAAATAAAAATAAATTTATTTCACAAATTTATTTTTTCTTATTACTGTCATTTATCTCTAAATTTACAAGAATTATCATTAAGTGTCTTATGATGATGATGATTGTGTCACAAGATCGAAAAAAAAGACAACACATTGAAAAGCAAAAAACAGAATTTCTTTTTTAGAGCAGATATAACACATGCATTTTTGAACAAATTTTCTTTTTACTTTCTTTTTTTTCATTTATTTCTGTTGTCACATTAATTTTCAAGTAATTTTCATTCATCAAAAATGAAAATTATACTAGAAAATAAAAAGAATTGAATGAAAGAAACAAAATGATTGTTAATCAGATTTATGAAGTAAAAAGAAGAATAAAAAAGAATAATGAGAAAAGTATGTTTTATTTTGATACTATTTTTTTTTTGGTTGGTTGTTGTTGCAATAATGTTGATGATGATATTACTATGACGACAAGATCAAATTAAGCTATAGATGAAAAAACCGAATGAAACTATTGCGTGCATTTATTGTATTCAATTCAAATCAATTCAAACTTTTTTATTTTTTGATCGATTCATTTCATTTTATTTATTCTTTAGTTTAATTGATTGACTTTATCTTGTTCGTAAGCCAAAATTTTCATTCGTTTTTTTTTCTTTCATTCATCCATAATTTTCAATTCGAATTTGTTTATTATTGACAAAATAAGAATCGATTCAACTACAATTTTTTTTTTGGAAAATTCTCGCCCAATCCAAACATAATAATAATAAACATTTTAACAAAATCGATTGAGAATATTGACATTAGAACAACAAAAAAAATATATAGTTTGATTAGCAATAAAAATAGAAAATCGAGTGAAGAAAAAAAAATTGCACCAAAAGAAAAACATGTGATCAACAATAAAATATAAAAATTCCAATTCTATATTTCACACTTAGTGAGTGAAACAAAAAAAAAAAGCAAAAAATTAACCCCTCTATAATTAATCAACCGATTATCATTGATTAATACATCCACACAAATAGAGAAAAAGATGTGGCGAAAATATTGACATAGTAATTATCATTTCAAATTAATCTGATAGATACAAATGATTATTATAAATCAAGTACAACAGAAAAAAAATGTTGATGTAAAATTTTAACAAACCAAAAAATAATTAATTATTATTATAACTTTAACTTTAACAACGATGCTGATAATGATGATGATAGAATTGAACAGCAATGGAATTGTACTTATTGTGCAATTATAAATGCATAATTTACGATTTGCAAATGGGTTGCAATTTTCAACAACAAGACCTTGATGTTTGTTTCTTTTCTTTTTTTTCCTTTTCGTTTTTTTTGGATATTGAAATTATTTATAGTCATTTTCAAATTTTTTTATTATTATTTGATTCTAAATGTAATTGCCAAGTTCATTCATATCTTTAAAAAAAAGATATTATTAAACATGATGATGTTGATGATGATAATGGTAAATGTACATCGTTGAAAAGTAAAGAATTTCAATCATAATTGTCATCATCATCATCATCATCATCAACAACATCTTGGTAATCACATTTTTTAATAGAAAATGAAAATGAAAAAAAAACAAAAAAACTAAACACATCTCCAATCGAAAACTCAATATCCTTTTGGACATCATTATTATCATCAACAACAACAGATTGATGAAAATTTAATAGAATTTAATTTAAAATATTTTTCCCCTCTTTCTTCAATCATATGATCTAATGGTGATTGACAAAAAAAATATATGAAAGATTTTTCGATTTTTTTCGGATAGGAAGGACATTATCATAGATTTGATTGATTGAAACGTAATTTGTGTACGAAAATAAATGACACAAACAATTAAAACAAAAAATCATTTTCAATTTTTATAATCCTATGATAATGATGATTAAATTCTTTTAAATTTTTTTGGGTTTTATCAACAGGTTTTTTCTAATTTTCTGATTATTATAATTTTGGTTCATATTAGGTTCGATTCAATTTTTATATATATTTGATTAGCTAATTTAATGACTTTCTGTTTTTCATTATTATTCTAGGCACTTTAATGTTTTGTACAGCAGCAAAATGTACGATTCTTCGATTTGTTTTCCCACTTCATTTGTTTCTTTTTTTTTCTTCATTTCAATTGGTGGTGGTTCATGGTCGCACACATCAAAATCCTAAATGATGATTGCATTGAATGTTAATGAGAAAAAAAAATGTTATCGAAAATGTTAAAACATCAACAACAACAACAACAACAACAGAGAAAAAAATCGAAAATGTTAATTCTCAAGAGAATTTTGTTATAAAAATAAAATGTACTATTTAACGAATTTAGCCATTGATTTAAATTGATTTTTGTTTTGTTTGACCAATTTTGATGGTGAAAAATAATGATCAACATTTTGTTTTTCTTATACATTGTAGGTATCATTTATCGATAAGTTAAGAATCTGTCCCATTCTTTATTCAACTTTACATTATTCAAATTCTGTATTCTAATGAATGTAAAAATGAATTTTTTCCCTTGTTCAATATTTTATCATTCATTTTTTTTTTGTTTTGTTTTCCGATTTTATTGATTTACGAAACAAATGACGATGATGATGAATAAAACATATTGAAAGATTTTTAACGGAATTTAGAAATTCATGCGCAAATTTTTATAACATTATTGCACATGAATTCATTTACAAGGCCGTTTTTCTTTGTATGTGTGTGTGTCCATGGCCCATGTGTCATTGATGATGTCAATGATGATGAGCCAGATATTATTAGAAAGTTAAAATGAATATAGAATGAAAATATATAAAAGGCTACAAGTGTTCCAGCACTTATATCGATTCTTTATTTTATGATATTATATATGGCATTTACTGTTACAAATAATACAAGCAGCCTGGAGACAAATACAAACTTTTATACATTATTTTGTTACTTATAAATAATAATTTTTCAATGAATATGCGTAATGAAAATAAGATACATTTTCCCAATTTCTATCTGGATTAATGTATAAAATGATGTTGGTTTTT